ATTTATTTATCAATATAAAATTTATTTTTATCATATATTTAATTTTTAATTTTTCAACTTTCTAATCACTAAATAACTGAATTTTTTTGTTCTCTAAGTAAAATTAAAAACAAATTAATATCTATTTACATATAACTATTTATTTAATTAATTATTTAATCTATTATTTGCCAAGTACAGTAAACAAAGAACAACTTTCGGCAAAAGCAGGAAAAATGATTCAGAAAAGCAATTGACCCATAGAAAACAAAATATGCCAGCATGTGACTGTGTGGTGAAGGGATCAGTTTGATCATAGATAAAAAGTTTATTTATTTATTTTTTTTAATAATAAGAGAAACTGTTCGGACGAATGGAAATGTACAGTTATTACTAGCGTTAGACACCGTACGCGGATGCGAGTGAGGGCCTAGAGCTCAGCTCCATGTGAAATAGAAAGGAAACGCCACCAATTAGGGCCTAAATCATATTTTTAAATTTTTTATTTTAATAAATTTATAAGTTTTAATTTTTTTTATTTTATATTATAAATTTTTTTTATTTTTATAAATTTATAAATTTTAATTTCTCACATTATATTATAACACTTTTAATCTCTTATTTATATAAATTTTAAAAAATAATCTTAATTTAAGATCAAGTTATAACGTTTTATTAGTTCTATTAATTGATTATTAATTTTATTAGTTAATTATTAGTATTTTGTTAGCGATTTGTTAGCATTTTGTTTACAAAACTAATAAATAAAATTGAATTTAAATTTTATGTTTTTTATAACAAAATAATAACGAATGCTAACCGTTAATTAACAGAATTAACAGAATGTTATAACCTGATGTTAAGTGAGAGATATTTTCTTTAATTTGTATATGTGAGAAGTTAAAAAAGTATTATAATATAAGGTAATAAATTAACCTACACTTATTAAGGTAAATGGTTAAATATAAATTTAACTCCTTGTGACATTTTTAACCACTTATCTATATAAATTTTAAAAAATAATCTTTATTTAAGGTCAAATTATAACGTTTTATTAGTTATATTAATTGATTATTAATTTTGTTAGCTGATTATTAGTATTTAGTTAGCGATTTGTTAGCATTCTGTTAACAAAACTAACAAATAAAATTGAATTTAAATCGGTTAAACCCTCATTTTGGTCTCTCAACTATTGTACAGACCCTTGATTTAGTCCCTCAACTCAAAAAACCCCTAATTTGGTCCATACTATTTACCATTTTTACCCCAACTTGATTCTTCCGTTAAAAATCCAATGATGTGTCCCATTAATTAATAAGAGCACGATGACATGTCAAATTTTTAATACACGTGGCAAGACAACATAACAAAAAGTGATGACATAGAAAAAAAAATAATATGACCAAAAAAAAAATTATTTCCTTTCTTTTCTTTTTTTTTTTTTTCCCCTTCGCTTTACCTTTCTCTTCCCCTTGGAACCCAACACGCCTAGGTTCAATGGAACCAAGGCATGGATTCTCTCGAACTCAGGCACTAGGTTTCTCTTCCCTTTAGAACCTAACGCCTATTGTGTTCCTTCGAACCTAATCGTGGGTTCTTTGGAACCCAAGCGTTGGGTTCCTTCGAACTCAGCATGCTTGGGTTCGATGGAACCCAAGCACGCGTTCTTTTGAACCCAGCATGCCTGGGTTCGATGGAACCTACGCGTGGGTTCTGTCGAACCCAGGTGCTAGGCTCCTTGGAATCCAACACGCCTGGGTTTCTCTCTCACTCTTTCTCTAAATTCATCACCGATTTCTTGTTTAGGTAAGCTATCTTGATCGTTTAGTTTCGAGGCTTTGTTTTTCCAATTTGAGATTACAATGGATCGATTTATGTTTGGCTGATCTGAGGATTTTGTCGCTTGTTCTGATGTTTTTGTGCTATTGAAAGTGAGATCTTTGTGTACATTGACGATCTTTATCGCCAATTTTGCAATTTTAATTCGTTCTGGCTTTAGTTGGTTTTAGTGATTTCTTTATTTGGTTTCCTGATCTCTAGATCTGTGTTTTATGATTCTACTATTGTTTAGCTGGATCTGCTTTATTATGTCTAGATTCTGATAGTAGTGTTCTTTCGCCTGGGTTCCATCAAACCCAGGTGTGGGGTTCTTTCGAACCCAGGCGTGGGGTTCTTTCGAACCCAGGCGCGAGGTTCTTTTGAACCCAAGCGCTGGGTTCTTTTTGTTTCTTTCGAACCAGGGGCAAAATATAAAAAATAATAATAATAATAAATTTCTCCTTTTTTTTTTGTGTGTTTTGTTGTTAGATGATGATGAAGAAGGCAAGGCAAGGAAGAGGAAGGAAAAAGAAAGGTGCTTGTTGAGGAACCCAGCATGCTTGAGTTTGATGGAAGAGCTCTGTTGTTCTAGGGTTCCAATGGGAAGAACGAGGAAGAAGGGTTCAGTTTTTGCAGGGGTGGGCCCCATCTTTTTTTTTTTTTTTTGGTTTGGTTCTTGATGAGAATGAAACATTTCATACAGCCATGTCATTCTTTTTTTAGGTGTACATCTGACATGTCACACTATTTTGACATGTTATCGTGCTCTCGTTAATTAACAGGACTCATCATTGGATTTTTAATGGAATGACCAAGTTGAGGTAAAAATGGTAAACAGTAGGGACCAAATTAGGGATTTTTTGAGTTGAGGGACTAAACCAAGGGTCCATACAATAGTTGAGGGACCAGAATGAGGGTTTAACCATTTAAATTTTATGTTCTTTATAACAAAATACTAACAGATATTAACAGTTAACTAACAGAATTAACAATTAACTAATGGAACTAACAAAATGTTATAATTTGATATTAAGTGAAAGTTATTTTCTTCAATTTATATATGTGGGAAATTAAAAGTATTATAGTATAAGGTGATAAATTAAAACCTACACTTATTAAGGTAAAGGGTTAAATATAAATTTTTACCCTCAATTATGTATAACAGAATACTAATAGATACTAACAGTCAATTAATAGAATTTATAGTCAACTAATAAAACTAATAAAATTTTATAATCTGATGTTAAGTGATTATTTTTTTAATTTAATGAATAATTATTAAAATTTAAAATATAAAATTTTAATTAAAAAATTCAATTTTAATTTTAATTATAATAAAAATAGAACCGCACCCATCCCTATCACCCCTGGTTTGAACACCCCCATTCCTTTTCCTCATCTTCTACAGTATAGTAAAAATATTTATAAAAAATTAATTTTAGTTTTTATAAAAAAATTTACGCGCGAAAATAATTTACAGTTGTACATTTTTCTTTTCTCCTATATTTTTCTCTGCCTTGGATTGCTTTCTATCTTATCAATATCATAGCCCCGTTTTCAAAATGTTAGTGGGAATTGCCTGACTTTCAACCTCGTGCTGGCAAAAGCTGAGCAGGGATCAACTTTCTGCAAAAGCGGTGCAAATAATTCAAAAAAAAAAAAATTATTGTCCATGGAAAATGTCAGTTTGTGACTATGTGAAGAGAACTATAAAGTACAATTATTATCAGCGTCTCACACCGTGGGCCGGTGAGGGCCTAAAGCTCAGCAATCATGTGAAATGTGACCTTAAAATCACTGGATATCAAAGA